GCGCTCCCTGGGCGTTACCTGACGAGGTGTGCGATGTCCCAGTTGGCTTCCAGGGTCAGGGGTCCCTCCACCTCCACGCCCTTCTCCGTTGCGATGGCTACTTCGTACTGAGGAGAGAAAACAGGGGCGGTCCTCAGCAAAGCCCGACCTCCGCCCGCGGGTGTCAGAGGGGCCCTGGGAACGCTCCGAGGTGGCGATAAGAGCCGTCCTTTAAACGAGTTGGTTCTATAGGGGGCTTTGCGTTCCGTAACGCTTTTCTTTTCCCTTAGTGGGCCAGCTGACGGTAGTAATAACTGGAACACTCCCGAAGCTCAAAGGTTGCGGCCTCTGGATGCTACAGCTGCCGTGGCGGGAGAGGAATCACCAGATCCAAGAAAACGCCCGAGAAGAGCATCACGCAGTCACTCAGCTCTTCCAAGGCTGCAGGACAGCTTTGCCAAGAGGATCCCTTTGTATGCCCCCCCTCCGCCAACTCGGGCGTTACTGCGAGGTTCCCTGAGATCAGAGACAGCAGATGGCCCAGGGGGAAGCTCGGAACGCTGGCCCGCAGCGGCACACCAGCTCTGCAGTCAAGGGACGCCCAAGCCGGGCACTTACCCTGTTGAACGACCGAGCGTCCCTGTAATACAGAATTTTCATGCAGCGGTCAATCAGGTCACGGGCCTCCTCCTTCGTCAGGCTAGGCTTCTTCTCCAAGACTTCTCTCATCAATGGCTGGAGAAAGAAATAAAATCCAGCAGCTCGACGGCTCAGTCACCCAGCGCTGAGGTTGCTTTAGCAGCTGAGCAAGAGTGACCTCCCCGCGAACGCTCACCTGAGCGAGGTACGCTCCATAACCCGTAGCAAGCGTAGGGGCTTCGTAGGCCACGCCGAGCATGTCCACGTAACCTAGGAAGCTGAAGGGAGAGATCTGTGAGCGCAGCGGCCGTGCAGGCAGGGCTGCGGCGGGGAGGGACTCGGCTTCTGAGTGGTTACACCCAGCCAGAGGCCTCCCCGAATCCCATGCCACGAGAAGCAGCCCCAGGGAGGGAGCACAGTGGCCATCACACGCTCCACGGTGCTCGCCCTCGCTCACCTCTCGCCGTTGTAGTAGCCTCCGATGACAACGGTGTTCCAGAGCGGATTTATCTTGGACCTCCGGTTGTACATGACTCTTGTCAGCCAGGAGTGGATGGCTTTCGGGCTGTAACTGTGACCATCTCCCAACAGCTCCTCGTCGATTCTAATTTAGGTAGAAATTTCACCCAGATGAGGGAAGCTGGAAACCGCCCAGATAAGAGGGCAGCAGCCCGGCTCCTGCTCCCCACAGGCTGCTTGAAATGAGACCTTGCAAGAGGCTGAATCAGCCAAAGGCCACGCAGAACGACTGACAGTGGCTCGGCAGAGCGTTTGGAAAAGACGCTTGTACCAAAGGGATTGTCCAGGGACAAGGGGGACTTCAGCTCCAGTTTGTCCCTGCTCAGCGAACGCCTTTAATTACATTTCAGTCCTCTGAGGAAAGGGAAAAGGGAGCAGCACAGCAGGAGCCACAGCACGGCCAGGGCTGGCCTGAGCCAGAGCCGCAAGGGCCGGGGCAGCCCAGGGCGGGAGAACTTACACCATCTGGTCGATGATCTGCTTGAGGTACTGGAAGTCGGCGTAGTCGCCGGACGCCCCCAGCATGGTGGTGTCGTTCACCTTCAGGAGCCTGGAGATGCCGCGGAAGCGGGCGAGGGAGCCGTAGGAGCCCATCATGTCTGCAGCGATGATCACTCCCCCGTCGAACTTCACCCCCAGCACCGAGGTGCCCGTCACCATCGGCGTCCTGAAGACCCAAACGTCAGCGGGGCCCCGGACTCCCCCCCTTAGCCCTCAGGGAGAGGCCCCGGGCCCCTGCCCTCCCCTCCCCAGCCCCGT